TGTCCCCCCCCTGACCCAACTCCGCTCTAAGCAGGAGCGGGCGGTCCCCGGAGCCTTCCCCGGGTGTCACAGGGACCGCCCGGCTCTGCTCGCCCGCAGGGACCCGCCGGGGGCTCCAAGGACGAGTGTTTCTCCAAGCTCTTCACGGCCAGCGGGGATTGCTGCCGGGCCTGCAACGTGGGCGAGGGCGTGGCGCAGCCCTGCGGGGTCAACCAGACGGTGTGCGAGCCCTGCCTGGACAGTGAGTACCCCCCGACCCCCGGGGCTGCCACCGGGCCGGGGACACCGCGACAAGCCCCGGGGTCACCCCTCGGACCCTGCTGGAAGCGCCGCAGCGTTCCCGGGTCACCCCCGTGCTGAGTCGGGAGGGGTTTGGGCCGGATTCCGGGGAGAGGATGGATGAAAACGGGAGATTGTTCCTCCAAAACGGGAGATTCTTCCCCCCAAAATGGAGATTGTTCCCCAAAATGGGAGATTGTTCCCCAAAATGGGAGATTGTTCCCCCAAAACGCAGAATTCTTCCCCCAAAACGGGACTTTGGGGCCTGGGGAAGGGCACAGCCCCAAAGCTGGGTGTGGACAGCTCTCAGGCACAGGGAGGGATTTGGGATGATCCTTGGGATCGGGATATTCCCGGATTCCCTGAACCAAAGATCCGCCTTGTCAATGCCGCCTCTCCCTGGGCTGGGATCTGATCCCGGGCTCATTCCCAGCCCCATTCCCGCTCTCTCTCCACCTGCTGGCCCCACATTTATCCCCAAAATCCCCCAGCCTGAGCTCAGATCCATCCCCAGGGACAGCTCCCGTTTATTTTTCCCTTCCAAACCTTGCAAAAGCCGTGAAACAGCAGCGAAACCGCTCGGGGAGGGGAGGCAAAGCCCGGCCGGCAGGCTCGGCGCTCTCCGGGCCGGCTCCAGGCGCGATTCCCGTGTCCAACGCTCCATAAAAGTCGGTGGGAGACGCGAGCGAGCCCCGCGGGAGCCGGGATCGCTGCCAGAGCCCGCCGGGATCCGCCGGGAGCTCGGGAGGCTCCGGGGAGGCGATGGGAGAGGGGGAAGGGCTGCAGAGAGAGCAGAGGAGGCCGGAGGAGCCGAGCAGGGGCAGAGCAGAGCCAGGGCAGGGATAAAAACACCCCCGAGCCCTCCGAAATCGATGGACGGGAAACTGAGGCAGCCCGGGGCTGCAGCCCTGGCTGAGGGGATGGATCCCAGAGAGGGATGGATCCCCCCTGCACCGAATCCCATAAAATCTGGATCCCACCGAGGGAAAACCTCCTCCCCACCCTCAGCTCCTCCCAGAGAGGGAATTGGGGGTGTGGAGGGAAGGAGACCTGCAAGCAGCCATCCCTTGCTGGGATGGGGAGAGGACCCTGTGGCCCTGGATCCCTCCAGATCCCTCCAGATCCCTCCAGATCCCTCCGGATCCTTCCAGATCCCGCTGCCGCGGGCTGGGCAGGCAGAGGCAGCGCCAATCCTGGCTCAGGCTCCAGACTGAGCCCCAGGAATGCGGGCCCGGCCCAGGGCTGAGGTTCCCACCTGCACCCCGGGCTGCCTCCTGCGGGCACTCCCTTGGACGCGCTCCCGATCCGCCGGGGGAATTGGTTTGGAAAAAAATCCCGCTGCAAAAATCCCGCTGCCAAAAAATCCCGCTGGAAAAAAATCCCGCTGGAAAAAAATCCCACTGCCAAAAAATCCCACTGCCAAAAAATCCCACTGCAAAAATCCCGCTGCCAAAAAATCCCACTGCAAAAATCCTGCTGCAAAATTCCCGCGGCAAAAAAATCCCGCTGCAAAAAAACCCGCTGGAAAAAATCCCACTGCCGAAAAACTCCACTAAAAAAATCCCACTGCCAAAAAATCCCACTGCAAAAATCCCTCTGCAAATTCCTGCTCCAAACCCAAGCCCGGCACCTGCCAGAGCCCGGGGGGGGGTTCCAGAGACCACCCCAAGAGGGGGGAGCCGCTCTGATTTCCCCTTTTTCCCCCTCTGCAGCCCCCCCGAGCCCCGAGTGCTGCCTCATGATTTATTCATCCCCCGCAGCCCCGGCCGCTGCCGGGGGAGGGCGGATGGGGCAGGGGGGCCCGTTTGGAGCGGGGCTGTAATTGCTCAGCTCAGATCCCTTCGGCTGCCGCTGCAAATGTGCCCACTCAGCCGAAAGCCTTTCCTGGCCACTTCCCCGCTCTAATGGGGCCCATCAATAATTCAGGATAATGCGAGGGATGAGCCCAGGTTAATGGGAGCCGCGTGTGCCGCCCCGGGGCTGCTCGCCCTGCCCGGCCCGGCCCGGCCCGGCCCGGGGGCTGCTGGCGGGGCCGGGGGAGCCCCGGGAGTGTCCGAGCAGGGACAGGAGGAGCTGTCCCTGCTCCAAGGGGTTTAAAGTCCCTCCTGAGCCAAAGCGTTCCGGGGTTTTGGTGATTCTGCGTCCTCCGGTGTCCTCTGCGGGTTCGGAGAAACCCCGGGAGAGGCGCGGGACACCCGGGCGAGGGGTGGGGAAAATCCGGGTTGGAATTTCCTCCCATCCCGGCCATTCCCGGGGGGTTGGGGCGCTTCATTCCCCTCCGGAGCAGCCCAAAATTCCCGTCCCGAGCAGGAATTGTCCTGTCCCCAGCCCGGTGTCCCCAGGGAAGCTGCTGAGAGCGGGAATGGCCGTTCCCAGCGCGGGTCAGGAGCGCAGGGATTCTCCATCCCCCGGCTGGAATTTCCGCGGGATGGGCTCCGGTGGGATCAGCTGGGAGCTGGCAGCAGCTGCGCCCTCCAGGACGGGCTCTGACCCCTCTTCCGGGGCTAAAAATATCCCCGAACTCCTCCGGGAGCGGGCAGAGCGAGGCCCGGGCATCGATTTCCCCGGCAGCGCGTCCTGCAGGAGGAAACCGGAGCGCTCGGAGCCGGGGCCAGGCCGAGTCAGCAAAGCTTCACCTCCCGCTGGCCCCGAGCCCGGCACCCCCGGGAAGGATGCGGAGGAGAAAATGTTGGGATGTGAGGAGCGGGAATGCCCAGAGGGAGCGCCGGGAGGTCGGAAATGGGGGTGAAGGAAGGAATTAACGAGCAGGGAGCGCTGGGGGCAGCGCAGCCAGGCTGGATCCCCGGGAATTGCCGGGAAGGTGGGAATGGGATGAGGAGGTGGGAATGGGGAAGGTGTTAATGGGAAGCTGGGCCTGGAAGGATGCTCAGAAGTGGGAATTGCTGGGAATGGGGAAGGTGTTAACGGGCTGAAGAGTCCGGGATACCGGAGCTGGGAATTGCTGGGAATGGGGAAGGTGTTAACGGGAAGAGGAACCTTCGGTGGGTGCTCGGAGCTGGGAATTGAGGCGGGAATGGGCAGCAGAGCCTGGAAGGTGCTGGCAGCTGGGAATTGTGCAGGTGTTAATGGGAATGAGAACCCAGAGCTGGGAATTCCTGCTGGAACGGGGAAAGCTGACTCTGGGGGGCCGCAGAGGCGGGGACCCCTCTCCCTCTGACCCCGGGCACACCCCAAGAGGGAAACGCCGGGAGCAGAAGCCGGGATCTGATCCCAACCAGCCTCTGAGCGCCCCGCGGCCCCGCAGGTGTCACCTTCTCGGACACGGTGAGCGCCACGGAGCCGTGCAAGCCGTGCACGCAGTGCGAGGGGCTGCAGAGCATGTCCGCGCCCTGCGTCGAGTCGGACGACGCCGTTTGCCGCTGCACCTACGGATACTTCCAGGACGAATCCAGCGGGAGCTGCCGCGAGTGCCGCGTGTGCGAGGTGGGCTTCGGCCTCATGTTCCCCTGCAAGGACTCGCAGGACACGGTGTGCGAGGAGTGTCCCGAGGGCACCTTCTCCAGCGAGGCCAACTTCGTGGATCCCTGCCTGCCGTGCACCACGTGCGAGGAGAACGAGCTGCTGGTGCGGGAGTGCACGGCCGCGGCCGATGCCGAGTGCCGGGGTGAGCGCCGCGTCCTCCTCGCGGCTCCGCCCGGCTTTGGGAGCGGCGCTGGGGTCCCTGGGCGAGGAGGGAAAGGAGATGGGGTTTCCTCCCGGTCCCCATCAGCATCCCAAAAATCCCAGCCCCGCGGGAAAGGGGGAGAAACGGCGGCAGAGCCAAAGGCAGAGCCGTGCCGAGCTGCCGGGGGAAGCGGGGCCGCTCCGGCCGGGGCTGCCGGGGGCTCCTCGCCAGGCCCAGCGGCGATTCCCGGGCGGGAGCGGCGTCACCGCGGAGAAAAGCGCTTTGTCCCCGCCGCCGCCGAGCCGGGCGCGGGGCAGCTCGGCCCAAGGGTCGAGTAAATGGAGCCACAAGTCAAGGACACAGGGCCGGCTTTGTCCGCCGGGAGCGGCTCCCAAAGAGCAGCGGGGGCCGGGAGCGGCGGGGCAGGATGCCACCAACCCCCCCGACAGCGACGGCGACAGCGCTGCGGCCCCGGGGGCTGGCGGGGCGGAATTCCAGCCCGGCACAATTCCAGCCTGGTGCTGATCCCAGCCCAGCGCTGATCCCGGGGGGCTGGCGGGGGGTGGCAGAGCGAGGTCCCGGCTCCCACCGCAATTCCCGGCGCATCCTCACTCCGGGATGGGCTGCGGGATGTGGCCCGGCCCTGAGGGTGGCAGCGGGCAAAGGCCTGGAGAGGACACCGGGAATTCGGGATGGGATGGGATCCATGGGATGGGATCCATGGGATGGGATTCATGGGATGGGATGGGATCCGTGAGATGGGGCAGCCACGCGTTTCCCTGGTGCAAGACCAGACGAATCCGCTCCTGGGACACGCCCGGGCGTGGCAGGATCGGGGTCACTCCGGAACGGAGCCGGTGGGGCCGGGAAAGGGGCAAATCCGGGCCCTGGCGCTCCGTGCGGGGTGAGGGGCACCGCGGCTGCCTCAGCCCGGGCCTGGGGTGGGTTTGGGATGGAGGAGGGGCTGCTGGGGGGGATTTGGGATGGAGGAGGGGCTGCTGGGGGGGATTCCCTGGATTTGGGGGCTGCAGCAGGAGCTGTGCCCCGAGGGGACCGTGCTGGGACAAAGCCACGGCCACCCCCGGGGAGGGGACAGCTTTGGCCTGGCCTGGAGACGAGCGAGGCCGAGGGGACCGAGAGCTGCCGCCTCCACCACCCCCACAGCCAGGGAAGAGATCCCTGCAGGAATTCCCGTCCTGATCCTGGCTTTCCTTCCCCTCCACCCGGGCAGGTCTCCACCCTCGCTGGACAACGCAGAGCCCGTCCCTGGGGGGCTCCGAGAGCCCCGAGCCGGCCAGCAGGGAGCCGCTGGGCACCGAGGGGGCGGCCACCACCGCGGCCAGCACGGCCACCACTGTCATGGGCAGCTCACAGCCCGTGGTGACCCACGGCACCAGCGACAACCTCATCCCCGTCTACTGCTCCATCCTGGCCGCCGTGGTGGTGGGGCTGGTGGCCTACATCGCCTTCAAGAGGTACAGGGACAGGGATGGGACAGGGACAGGGGGACAGCGGGTCCCCCACCCTGCTGCCACCTCCCTCTTCACCCCTCCTGACTCTCTCCTCACGGTTTTGGAAATCCACCCAGCCTGGTGCCCTCACTGGTGGCACCTGTGGGACATCCAGAGTGGGGGTCCCACTGTCCCCCACTCCCCAAATCCCTGTCCCTGTCCCATCCCCTGTGCCTGCCCCTGCCTGTCCCTGTCCCATCCCTGTCCCTGTCCCTGCCTGTCCCTGTCCCATCCCCTGTCCCTGCCCCTGCCTGTCCCTGTCCCTGTCCCTGTCCCTGTCCCTGTCCCAGCACCAGGACAGAAAGCAGGAATTGGGACAAACCCCTGCCAGCCTCAGGGATGTCCCTGTCCCTGTCACTGTCCCCGCAGGTGGAACAGCTGCAAGCAGAACAAGCAGGGAGCCAACAACCGCCCGGTGAACCAGACACCGTCACCCGAGGGGGAGAAGCTGCACAGCGACAGCGGCATCTCCGTGGACAGCCAGAGCCTGCATGACCAGCAGCCCCCCGGGCAGGGCACCCAGGGGCCAGGTGGGGACAGCCGGGGGGGACGGGGACACCTGGGATGGGCAGGGAGGATGGGCTGGGACACCTGGGATGGGCAGGGACACACGGGGACACTCAGGGACACCCTGAGGATGCTCAAGGACATCCAGGGATGGGCAGGGACATCCTGGGGACACTCAGGGACATCCTGAGGATGCTCAGGGACACCCAGAGATGGACAGAGACATCCAGGGATGGACAGGGACACCCAGGGATGGACAGAGACATCCAGGGATGGACAGGGACACCCAGGGATGGACAGAGACATCCAAGGATGGACAGGGACACCCGAGGGTGCGCAGGGAGGATGGACAGGGACACTCTGGGGATGGACAGGGACACCTGGGAAGCTTGGGGATACCCGAGGGATGCTCAGGGACCCCCGGGGACGCTCAGGGACCCCCGGGGGTGGCAGTGAGGATGCACAAGGACACTCTGGGACCCCAGGGGACACTCAGGGACCCCCGGGGGTGGCAGGGAGGACGGACACCCCACCCCGGGCTGGCTCTCAGGCCGTTCCCCCCCTGCAGCCCCCAAGGCGGACAGCAGCCTGTACTCGGCGCTGCCGGCCAGCAAGCAGGAGGAGGTGGAGAAGCTGCTGGGCAGCTCGGCCGAGGACACGTGGCGGCAGCTGGCGGGCGAGCTGGGCTACAAGGAGGACCTGATCGACTCCTTCACCCGCGAGGAGTCCCCGGCGCGGGCGCTGCTGGCTCACTGGGCCTGCCGCGAGTCGGCCACGCTGGACGCGCTGCTGGCCGCCCTGCGCCGGCTCCAGCGCGGGGACATCGCCGACAGCCTGGCCAGCGAGTCCACGGCCACCTCCCCCGTCTGAAGGGAGCCCCGGGCTGGGGGGGACCCTCGCCGGGCTCTGGGGGGCGGCGGGGTCACCCCGTGTCCCCCCCGGCTGAGCTCCCGGTGCCAGTGCCATCCCCTCCCCGTGCCGATCCCACCCGGCAGCGCCTGAAGGAGTTTGGGGGGCTCAGCCCTGCCCTGACCCCAAATCCCGGCTGTGGCCGGAGCGCTGGGAGCCCCGGGATGGGCGGGCAGCCGGACAGATGGACACGGGAGTGACCGCCGTGCTCTCCTCTCCCCCTTCCAGCCCCTTCTCCCCGGGGCTCCTGCCCCGTTCCCCTCCCCAAATCCAGCTGCTGTCCCCCAAAAACGGGCGGGGCTGCAGAGCCGTGGAGCTGCTGGCCAGGGCCCTGGGGGCTGGGGGCTCTGGGGGCTCTGGGGGCTCTGGGGGCTCTGGGGGCCCTGGGGGCTCTGGGGGCTCTGGGGGCTCTGGGGGCTCTGGGGGCTCTGGGGGCTCTGAGGGCTCTGGGGGCTCTGGGGGGGCTGCGGGAGCGGCCTTGGCTCCCCACGCTGCGGAATTTGGGGCTGCGGTCTCCCCGCGGGGACCCCCAACACTGAGGAGCAGATTTTGGGGTGCCCCGACCCCCCCGGGGGGGCTGCAGGGGACACCAAGGGGACACCGAGAGGTCACCGAGGGGGACACTGATGGTGGGAAGCGCTGAGCGAGTGCCTGGCCCGGAGGGGACAGCCCTGAGGGCTGCGCTCTGCCTGTCCCCAGTCCCCAATGTCCCCAATGTCCCCAATGTCCCCAATGTCCCCAGTGTCCCCAATGTCCCCAGTGTCCCCCAATGTCCCCAGTGTCCCCACTGTCACCACTGTCCCCAGTGTCCCCACTGTCACCACTGGCCCCAATGTCCCCACTGGCCCCACCCGGCTTGGAAGGGCTCTTCCTGCGCCAGCACTGTGAGGGGCGGCTGGGAAATGTCCCCATGGAAATGTCCCCATGGAAAAGTCCCCTGGGGACATTCCCGTGTCCCCTCTCCAGGGAAATGACCCCAGCACCTCCCCGGGGAGGTGACATCGCTCCAGAGAGATAAAAGTGCATTTTTGGGGCGGTTCTGCCCTGGCCGGGTGAGCTGGAGAGCGGCTCCGGGCCGGGGAGTGTCCCCAGAGCTGTCACCAGGCTCCTGGTGATGTCCCCTGAGGTGTCACCGAGCTCCTGGTGATGTCCCCAGAGCTGTCACCAGGCTCCTGGTGATGTCCCCTGAGGTGTCACCGCGCTCCCAGCGATGTCCCCAAGGCCCTGCTCCCCTTGCCCGGAGCATGCCGAGGTTCCAGCGCTGCCAGGTGAGCCGGGCCAGCCCCTCTGGATTCATCCCGAAATCCCTTCCAGGGCGGGATTTCCCTCCTGGAGGAGACACTTGTAAATAGGAATTGTGGTGTTGGACCCATTGCTCGATGTTTCTACGTGTGACCCCCCCCGGGGACAGCCCTGTCCCCTCTCCACTTCCAGCTGGGAATTCCCATCCCAGTCCTTTGATCCCGCCTCATTTCTGGCACAGAAACGCTCCCCCCTCCCAAAAAATCAGCGTTTGGATGTTCCCGGGAGAGCCCGGAGTCTCCCAGGGACTGGAGAGGCATCCATGGGATCCCGGCACCCAGATCCTTCAAAATCTTCCGGAACTTTCCCTCCCTGCTGTGCTCCGGGCGATGGAAGAGCTCGGGCTGGGATTTGGATGATTCCGACCTGCGGAGATCCCTCGGGAAGAGCCTGGAGGGAAACTCTGGCTCCTGGAAGTGCTGAAAATCCCAAATCCCCGTCCCAAACTTCTCCCAGCGCCCAAATCCAAGGAAATTTGTCCCAAATTTACAACCCCCAGCTCCTGCCAGGCCGAGCCACACTGGGATGGAGTTGGGATGGATTTGGGATGGAGTTGGGATGGATTTGGGATGGATTTGGGATGGATTTGGGATGGACTTGGGATGGATTTGGGATGGATTTGGGATGGATTCCATCACTGGCCATCTTCAGGTTCCCATTGATCCAGGTTTTTTTTGGAAAAGCGACTCCAGGGCAAGCTGAGGGTGCCTGGAATGAGGAATTTCCCAAATTTCCTGGATGAGCCAGCCCGGCTGAGCCTCTCCCGCTGGGAATTCTTTTTTTCCTCCCGCTGGGAATTCTTTTCCTCAGGACAACGCTGCCTCGCTCTCAGGTTCTCATCGCCACAGGAAAGGGATTTCAGCACCCGGAATCCCAAAAATCAGATTTTTAGGGCCGAGGGAAGTGGGACAGACTCAAAGAGGAGCCCCAAATCCCCCCTGGATGCAGGAAAAAATGGAAATAAAATCCCAAAAACCGCCAAAAAAACCCCAAACCCAGGAGGGAAAGCCGAGAGCTCGTTGTACAAAGGCCGGGTGTTCCTCCACTCCCCTCTCTGTAATTCCAGGGCCGGATTCTTAGGAAGTAGAAGGATTTGGGGGGTTGGGGGCAGCATGAGGCCCTGGGGGGGTGGAATTTGTCCGTGTGTATCCTTGGGATGCCAATAAAGCATCGTCGTCGCTGTCCCGCCCGCTTCTTCCCGCTCTCCCAAAAGAAAACCGGGAATCCAGGATGGGAAAAAGCCCCCAGAGCCTTCCCGATGGGATCCCATCCCCATTCCCATCCCCACATTCCCATCCCCACATTCCCATCCCCACATTCCCATTCCCATCCCCATTCCCATTCCCATCCCCACATTCCCATTCCCATCCCCACATTCCCACCCCCACATTCCCATCCCCACATTCCCATCCCCATCCCCACATTCCCATCCCCACATTCCCATCCCCACATTCCCATCCCCATCCCCACATTCCCATCCCCACATTCCCATCCCCACATTCCCATCCCCATTCCCTCCCCTCTCCCGGCCCCGCAGACAATGCAGGAATTCCTGGATTGTCCATCCTGGATCCCCTCGGGAGCGGGGCTGGAAGGAGCAGGGAGAGGAGCTGGGAAGGGACCCTGGAGCCGGGGGAAAGGAGCATCCTCTGATCCCAAATCCCGCCCTGAATTCCCGGAGCGGGAACGGGCTTGGCTTCGTGTGTGGGATCAGGGAGAGCAGCTGGAATTCTGGGGAGAGGGAGGGGAGGGAAAAAAAGGGGGAAATGAGGAATAAAGCCTGGAAAGGAGCCTGATGTTCACATGGGCTGGGGAAAATCCCTGGAAAACCTCCTTCCCCTTTTTTATGGGAGCCTGGGGAGGGCCAGAGCTGCTCGACCCCACATCTGCTGCCAGCGGGGAGACGGGAACAGATCCCTGCTGGATCCAGCGGGAAAAATCCCAAACCCCTCGCCAGGCCCTGGGAAAACGCAGCAATCACCGGGGAAAAATGGGGAAAGATTCCAAATTAAACTCCGCGGAAGCGCTTTTCACTCAACCCCCGGGGGGAGCCGGGAGCTTCCCCTGGAGCTTGGAAAGAAAACCTGGAAAAGAAAAACCGGGAAGAAGGGAAAACCGCGAAGGGAAAGTTCTCGGGAAGCGGCGGGGTCTGGGAGCGGAGCAGCGGCCGGCTGGACAATCCCAAATCTCCCCGATATTTCCCTCCCGTCCCTCCCAGGAACTGAGTTTTCCCAGGAAAACCTTCCCAGTTTTCCCGCAGCTTTCTCCCAGGCCGGGATTGGGAGCGGGGGTTTGGGAATGTTCCCGATCCCGGCGGGATCCCCGGGCGGGATCAGCCCCCCCCCCGATCCCCCCGGGTAAATCTGGCTCCCAGATGGAGCCGCATTCCCAATTAATGGGAAGCAGGCGGAGCCCAGCGGGCGCTGCTTCGTCCCCCCAGGCCGAGCTGGAGCCCGGGATTTTCCAAAATATCCCGAGGGCAGCTCATCCCGGCCAGGCGGGACCAGGACCCTCCTTTTTCCCCTTCCAGGACCCTCGGGAAGCCGGGAATGCCCCCCCGGGCCGCGGGCAAGGATTCGATTCCAATTTCCTGCTCTGGAGCCGGGGTTGAGCCTTTAATCCCCCCTCCCTCCCCTCCCTCCCCTTCCTTCCCTTCCTTCCCTGTCCCTTCCCGGCCCTTCCCGACCCTTCCCTGTCCCTTCCCGACCCTTCCCTGTCCCTTCCCGGTTCTTCCCTGTCCTTTCCCTGTCCCTTTCCCTGTCCTTTCCCTGTCCCTTCCCGGTTCTTCCCTGTCCTTTTCCCTGTCCCTTCCCTGTCCCTTTCCCTGTCCCTTTCCCTGTCCTTTCCCTGTCCTTTCCCGGCCCTTCCCGGCCCTTCCCGGCCCTCTGATCTTGGATCTCGGGGTCGGGATAAGTCCGGCCCCGCTCCCGAATCCCTGGAATTCTCCCGGCGCCTTTTCCCGCTGCAGCTCAACCCCTTCCTGCGGCTCCAGCCGCTTCGCTTCTCCCGGTGCTTCCAGAGCTTTCCAGAATCCCGGGATTATTGGGGATCCCGCTCACACTCCCAGGGACGGGGCGGGCACAGATTCCCCGGGAATTCCATCCCGGTTTCCATCTCCGACCCCGTTTAAATCCATCCCCCTTGTCCTGCTCCGCTGCCCCAATCCTCCCTTCGGGGTGAATCGGGAATTCTCCTGGAATTCCGGGATTTCCAAAGCCCATTCCCGGTCATGGGAACCCCCGGCGTGTCCAGAGAATCCCAGGGATGATCAAATCCAGGCGAATTCCCTCGAGCCCCTTCCCGGATGGACCGAGCGCTTCCCGGAGCCACCCAGAAAAAAAGGTGGATTTTCCCAGGAAAAATTCCCTTCATCCCCAGCTTTTCCCTCACACTTCCCACGCTCTCTGAAAGCTCTGGATGCACCTGGCAGGGCCGGGATGGAGGGAGGGATTTGGGAATTCCGGGAGGGACGCAGGGATCCGTTTTCCTTTGGATGGAGGGAGGGATTTGGGAATTCCGGGAGGGAATCCGTTTTCCTTTGGATGGATATCCCAGGGATATCCCGGGAATGGGATCCTGGAATGGGATCTGCAGATGGATTCTGGCACCCCGGCTGGATTTGTGTGGGAATCAGGGCTCAGCACGGGATTTTGTGGGAA